CCTGGGGCGGCTGCGCCGGCGGCCGCTGCCCCTGCCCCTGCCCCTGCGGCGCCGGCTGGGCCGAGCTCGCGGGCTCCGCCGCCGCCATCGCGACCCCACGCGCGCGGTCGGCCCCGCGCCCGCCGCCCCCGCCCGCGGCCACCTGCCGGGTCGGCTCCGCCGCGGCCGCCCCGCCGCCGGCCGAGGCGCGACCAAGGGTCCCGAGCTCCTGCAAACAACAGGTGCGGGAGCGCACCGGACTCGCGGCCGCCGGGCGCGCGGGCCTCCGCCCCCTCCCCGAGCCCGGGGAAGCGTGAATGCAGCCCACGACCGAGGGGAGGGGGAGTGGAAGCGAGGAGAAGGGGCAGCGAGGGGTGGGGACCCGAGTTTAAATGGCAGGAAGTGACGCCGCGGCCCGCGTTGCCGGGAAACGCATTTTTCTGTAGGAGGAGGAGCCGGGAGGAGGCGTGCGCGGAGCCTGTGCGGGTCGCGGGGACGCCCTGCTGTTGGCCAGCTGCCCGCGGGAAGGGCGAGCCCTGCAGCTACGCGCGGAGGAGAAAGGACTTCTCTGGGGCCGAAACTCACTATCTCCAGTGGCTGTCAGTTCCTGAGAAGCTGGTTGGGCCCTTCGGTCGCAGAGGGGCAGTAGCCTCCGGTCACTGGTCCTTGGTCGGTTTCTGCTGTCTGCCCTACTCGAGCTTCAGAATCCTTTGCAAACATTTCAGCGGCTTGGACCGAGTGCAGGATTTTATTCCGTGGGTCATCCTTTTGGATCCGGAATACAGGAAAAGCAGAATCATGGGGATTTAGGGTTCTGTCCACATAAGCAGTCATTCTCACCCTTTATTTTGTAGATAGAGAAAATGAGGTGTTGAGGGAGAGGTGAGGAATTGCCCAAGGACTCGTCGCTAGACTCCAGAGGTTCTGCATTTAGAACAGTGCTCTTAATACCGTTCTGGAAACAAATCATATTATCTGGAATAGTAGGCACTCACAGTTGTTTGCGCTTCAGTAATACCCCCAGCCATTTGTGGTAAATGGGATCGCACACAGATCTGAGAAAGGTTTTTCTCATTCCATTACACACGCTTAACAATCAGGCTAGATTTTAAATGAGTTGGTGTCACACAAAACACTCTGAATATAGTAGATGCTCAATAAGTATTAAGTGAGTGGAAATTCCATAAGACAGTAATTCAAGTTTCATGAAAGATTTTGCTTACTTTAAAATATTAAACTAGCAAGAAAAGGTCATTGTGAAATACAGCATTAACTAGTAAAACTGTACACACCATTTATAGCAACAAATTTATTTCTTATTCATAGGCACAGAACTTTATTAATAGCCAGATAGACTTTATTTTAATCAAAGGACTCTATAAACAAAACTTGGAATTAAAAATCTGAGGTAAAACATGAACATTTCAGTTAATAAAACCACTCAATTTAGCTGGAAATGTTTTTTCCTATGTGATTTGGCATTAGGAAAATTTTGCTAATGAATTTTATTGACAAATTAATAAAATTAATAAACAATGATGATTTCTTAAAATGGTTTTAATTTGAAGAGGGAACATTCTACTATAGGCGAAGGAACAGGATTGATAAAATTAATGTTATCTTTTTTAAACTTACATTTATATTGTGTCTTAGTCAGCTAGGGCTGCCGTAACAAAAACATCATAGATTGGGTGGCTTCAACAACAGAAATGGATTTCTCACAGTTGTGGAGGCTGGGAATTCCAGCGTCAGGCTGCCAGCATTGGTCGGGTTCTCTGCAAGCCCTGTGCCTGGCTTGCAGGTGGCTGCTTTCTCTCTGTCCGCACAGGGTGGAGAGAGAGCAAGGAAGCTCTCTGGTGTCTCTTCTTCAAGCACACTAATTCCATTCCGAGGTCCCACTCTCAAGACCTCATCTAAACCTAAAACCGCGCAAGCCTCCATCTCTAAATACCATCACACTGTGTGTGGTGTAAGCCTTTAACATGAGAATTTGGGAGAAACACAATTCATTCCATAATATACTTGGTAAAAATTATTTTGGTAGTTATGAAAATCTTTTTTTTATTTTAGTTTTTAAAGGTTTTCTAAAATGCAACTACTACATTATTAAAGATGTTAATAGGGCACTTGAAATTTATTTTGCACTGTTATGTTTTTCACAATACATTTTTCATTTAAAAAAAATTAGCTGAGGTAAAACTAGAAATCCTTCACCAATTAGCAGGTATTTCAAGTTAATCTTCAAAATCTTACGTCTGTTGGAGAATCTAAAAGTCACATCTGTGGTCGCCAAATTTTAATGAGAAAAATCATCTCTGCTGTTTGTTAAAAATGCAGATTCTTTGGTCCAAAGCCTCGGAGATCAAATCAGCAGTTGATGTGAGAATTTGACTTGGGAATCTGTTTTTTTCAGTTTCAGATAATTCTCATGCACATGGTCACTCTTTGAGAAACACTGAATGATGCAATGAAAAAGAATGAAATTGCCCTTTTTTCCCAAAACAGCTAAAGATCTGAGACTGATAATACAAAATGCTTTCTAATGTTGATGAATCTTTTTTAGAATTTATGCTAATGAAATTACTTTAAAATACATGATTAAAAAAATCAGAATACAAATAATCTTCAAGGAAATAATACTGGTCATGGTTTGCAATATATTAATCTGACTTTGATATCTGTATTCTTTTGGCTATAAAGGAGACAATTTTCAAAACTTGCTACAAGTTTTGAAACAATTGCTACACGGGTTCTTTGTCCAGTTCTCTGCATATTAGCAAGGTGTAGGTAAGGTTTTTATACACTGTAATTATTCAATGAAACTGAACTTTATTGCACTGACCTTTGGAGTAATAAATTCTTGACACTTATCCTTTGTTAAATCCAGATTAATTACAGTGGATTAATTGGGCAGATACATGACCT